TCTTTGCTGTAAGGTTGGGAAACTTCACTTTACTTATCTTAGGCTTTCAATTTCTGATAAAATGCTGAGAAGTAGGAACTGTAATAAATTGGTTCAGAATGATTTTTCTCTTACAATTAGATTGAATGGTCTTCATATTTTAGTGGCTAGTAGAGTGGAATTGAGTAGAGTTGTAATTTTTCCATTGGTGCAGTATTGGACTTCGGTTTACTCATTACCTATTGTGATTATTAATGTGATTGAGAGGAGAAAGAAAAACTATATTTGGGGGCATGTTAAAGATAGAAAGAAATTACATGGTTTGAGATAAAATAAGCTTGCTGTACCAAAAAAGGAAGGTGGGCTGGGGCTACAAAGATTGAGGGATATTGACAAGGCTACTAAATGTAGTCTTACTTGGGATTTTTTGTTGTCAAAAGACAAATTTTGGGTGGCTTGGTACAAGAGAAATTATTTGAGACAGTCTTCCTTTTAGAATGTTACTCTTAAGTGTTATCTTTGTCAATCTGGAAGAGTATGGTGGCAATTAGAGATATTTTAAAACAAAATTGTAGATATAGAATTGGAAATGAACAGAAGATCAAAGTGTTTTTGGATCTATGGTGTGATGGGAAATGTCTTGGGGACCTGTTTAACAATAGATTACTGGGTTCTCTTAATAGGAATAAACAGTGTTTTGAGTGATTATATTGTTGATGGACAATGGGATGAAGAGCAGCTGAGTAACACCTCACAAGAACTGAGACAAGTATTTCACAATCAAAGGATTTTTGGGGGAGAAGACCAATTAACATAGCAGTCCAATTTCTGTTTTAAAGCAGCATGGGAGGTATGTAGAAGCTCTAGACTTAAAGTTTGTCGGTATGATTTATGTTGGAGTGGGGGGAGGCCTAGGTGGTCTACACATTCACTTTTGGTTTTGCAAGAAGCTATTGTGACTTATTCTTTTTTGCATAAGAAAGGTTTTTCTATTGTCTCTAGATATTATCTGTGCCTTAGAAATTTGGAAACTATTGATCATTTGTTTTACACCTGTGATTTTAATTGGAATATATGAAATAATATATCAGAGATTCTGGGATGGAATTTACAGAGGATGCATGAAGTACAAGATATGGTGACAGTATTTAATCAAACATTTCAAAGGAAGAGGAACAAAGTGGCTCGAATTTTGTTCACTGATGTGCTTTACTTTATTTGGAGAGAAAGAAATGAGAGAATGCACAATGATACATGTAAAGATGCAATGGAAATAGCTAAGTGTATTATTTGGGAGGTTCTTGATGTTATGGGGGTATGCCTTCAAGACATCTTGTAATTTTTTACTTTCCTCAGCATTGTTTTCTTTTCCTTTATTAGGGAATATTTGTATAGTGAGGGTATGCCCTCACTCTATCTCCATGTACTATATTGTTTATATTTATAAAACCCTTCATTTAGGAAAAAAAAAATCTTTTAATTTGTTTTAACAATTGAGATTAAATGTTTAGCATGAGATGTATTTGGATAATGCTTAATTAGCTGTAAAATAAATTATCAGCATGCTTAAGATTTAGTTTATGTGAGATACATGATGTATGAAGTTTAAATAAATTATAAGTCATTCCTATGAGTTGATAACATGATATTATGTTATATGCTATTATGATATGATATGATTATAAGCAATTGCATATTTGTGTTTTATAATCTTGAGACATGTTATATTTATAAATGTTTGGGATTTGCTTGAGAACCAATGTTAGGATTTGGTTCTATGGATGCCATTATTAGGATATGGATTTGTTTTGGATTATGTAGATGAATTTACTAAAGAAGTTAAGTCCTATCTATTTTGTGTCAGGCCACGAAACCAATTGGATGACATGCCATTAAAAGACTATGACGGATAGTTTATTTTAGTATTATGGATAGGCCACGATATGAGCTTAAGATCTCAGGATCAGTGGTTAGGATTGATGCGTATATTGCCGAGTGAGATGCGTAACTCGGTTAGGAATGTGTGTGTCCTGGTAAAAGGAGGACTCGTGACCACTTTTGTGTGCGATTTGCATGAGATACCCACTATACAGTTGAGGCTGCCTTAATTCAGTGAGAGTCTTTAGTGTGTATATTTATATGCTTATGGACTATGTAGTTATTGCATGAGTTAGCTATAGCTGTATAGTTTTCTCCGGTTTCTGTTTGGGTTGTCGTAGAAAGGACTTGCTCGTGGGCCCGACTCACTATTATTTTTCAGGCGTTCGTCAGTTCCAGACTTAGAGATTGTTCATGCTGAGCAGAGACAGTCTATTCACTCCTTCGAGTTTACGTAGGATTTCTACTTTATGTTTCAGTTTCGGATTTGGATTTTATTTCATTTATTTCAGTTGGGTTTATTAGGGGTCCACATTTTGGTTTCCCGAGTTATAATCTAGATGGTTACTGGTGTTAGAGGTTTTGGATTATTGGGGGATTTTATTATTGGATTATTTTAATGGAGGCTTTATTTAATAGATTATTATTTAGTTTCTTTTCAGCTTTGTTCTTTATTCTTATTTCTTTTTGTATTCTGTGTTTGGTTAAATACTTTAATTGTTTGATATTCCCTCGGGTTTGGGCTTGAGTCTGATCAACCCATGTCTCGGAGGTGAGGGGTATCACAAGAACCACCTTTTGCATGTGAAATAAAAAACGATCATGGGGAAGCCAATAATGTCATCCCGTAGTCGTACGATGCGCGTGTGCAAGTGTGTGTTTGTATCACATCAATAGTAAAATAATGATCTCAAAGCTTGTAAAAATGCACAAAAAGATAACAATAATGAACTAAAGAGTGCAAAAACAAGCTAAAAAAAGTATAGAGGAGAAGAGGAAGAGATCGTTACCCCACTTTCTTTGATGATCTGACTCTGTTCTTCATGGCTTCGATGACCGGTGAATCTCTTTCTTAAGGTTTAGAGAGAGAGATGGAAGAGCTGTATGTATGTGATTAGGAATGAGTTTGTGTTCTTGGTGTTTTTGTGTGTGAGAGTGTATGTACATATATATGTGTGTGTGTTTATATATATATAGAGAGAGAGATTTCTAGAGAGAGAGAGCATCTTTAGGCAAATATCAATTTTCCTAGAGAAAAAAAGGGCCTTGGAAATGTTGGAAGATGTCTTCTATTTATAGAAGAGGGGTTGACCAATGTGCAATATCCCAAGGACCAAAAGGCAAACATTGGAAGGCCAAATTAAAATTTTGAGGGACCTTTAAGCAATTTCTGAAAAAGTATTTTTGCATCAATGACGTAGATTCAAGTGTAAGGCCCCCCCTTAAATCTCGAAAAAGGACGCGGCCCCAAACTATCCTTTTTGGTTTCTCTTTCCTTGGTTAATTCTTCTATTGCCCCCGCTTTTCCAAAAATTGCATTTGAGTGTTTTCAAAATTTGAGGTATTTCCTTGATAATTTTGACTTCATGATGACCTCATACTGCTGATGTGGCAATCCTATCTATTGCAAAAAGTACCTTCATAGTGCAATTTTATCTGTTTTGCCCTTGGGAGTGGAGACTAGGTCAAAGTGGCTCCGGACTGGAACATTGTCAATATAATATTTGCTTATAGGGTTTTTGGATCCTCTAAATCCATTGGTGATGTTTGTTTGCCAATTTGAATTTTATTCTGAAAAGTCAAACCTTGGGGTTGATCGGTTGGTTTCTCCCATAAAGACTTGGTCAAAAGTGGGGGTAGGGCTGGAAGGTAGGCAATATTACAGTGCTTTTCTAGATTTTTGAACCTTTTGAGCACAATGGTGAGGTTTGTGGATTATGTTGACTACTGGTGTGAAAAGTCAAACTTAGGATTCGCTCGAGCCCCGCCGAGGGTTTTGATCAAAGTAGGTGATGGTGGTGGGTAGAGACTTTGAGGTGAAGTGTACCCTATGATTTTTGGGTGCTCTAGACTCAATGGTTAAGTTTGTTTGTCGACTTCACAATCGTTAGAAAGTGTGTGATGTGGTTGATTAAAGTGTTTCGTGGCATTCTGTGATGCCGTCAGTGTGATGATGAAGTCCGATGTCCAAGAAGATGAGTAGAATTTCTTTCTAAAACCGGTTGGTAAGTAAATCAGAGCCAAGAATGAGTAGAATTTCTTTGTTTTAGAGAGAGACCTGTGAACAAGGATCACAAAGAGAGCCTTTTTTTTTTTTTGCCGAATTTTGGTGTTTTGGTAATTGTCTTAATTATTAAAATGAGCAGTGTTAGGATTCTTAAATTTGGAAATTAAAATAGTCTGACAATAGTTTTCAATCAAAAGGAACAAATATTAGGGAATTTGGAATTGAACCCTTGGATTTAATTTAAGGCCCACCTGTATATAATTTTTTTTGCTCACCAATAAGCAAGACTCTATATAATTATTATATTATTATATAATTAATTTGTTAGAGAAGGAAAAAAGGCTACAAACTTTTGTTTGCATCCTCTCGGATACTTAAAAAGCAGAATGCATCTTCCATGAATTGTGATTTTTTTCCGGAATAAGTGTCCAACTACGTCACGACTGCATTCGTTTCCTCACTCCATCAAACAATCAAACAAAGCTAGTTAAAGAAGAGCATAATAAATAGACAATTGAGAGCACTAAAACAACAAATGGAACCACCATCAAACAATCAAGCAAAGCTAGTTAAAGAAAAGAATAATAAATAGACAATTGAGAGCACTAAAACAACAAATGGAACCTCCATCAAACAAACTACTCAAAAGCTGTACTTAAAATATATGAATTTTAAAAATCTTTCCTGTAACCCACTAAACCATCATACTAGAACTTCAGAAATAAAAAAGCCGCAAAGAGACGTTAATTAAATCATACCCATTTAAATTACAATAACAAAAGATGATGAATATCCAACTATTTTCCTCAATCAAAAGCACATAAGCCAATAACATAGTGATATCATCTGGACCCCTACTACACACACACATAACAATCATGATTAACAGCAGAATTAACCCAACTTTTAGATCTAATTGAACAAAATCCAGTACTTCTATTTAAAATCACACCTATTAAAGCAACCAGAAATACATAATTACAGAAATAAAAAGCTGCAAACCTAATTAAACTAGTCATACTCCCTTAATTACACTAATATCCAACCACTTATACAGTGATATTCCCACCTATATATATACACACACAAACACACACCACAATCGTATATAGCAGTACAATAAACTTAATCTTGTTCTAATAGAACCAAAACCCAGTTCTTATAATTACTTATAACTCCTATTAAACCAACACAAACACATAATTATCCAATCTTATTATGAGTATCACACAAACCAGCTGTCATGAAAGGTAGACTGGTACTGCACCAAGATCAGCAACAAGACGATGAACGCCGCCACGCCCCACGGCGAGCTTCCCTCGGACGGGCGTTTGTAGGTCCGTCGCTGCCGATCATACGGCGACGAGACGAAGAATCTCTCAGGATTCTCTATGGTTGACAACCAACGGACAGCAATCAGTATCAACACTGGTATGACAAAAAGTACCCAACCCAAGTTCTGTTCAGTGGTTTCCACAACTTCCTCATACGAGGAAAACCATTGGATGCCAAGCAAGAGAGTGATGAGTGCTAAGAGTAGGAGAACAGGGTATGGCAGGGGATTTAGAGTGAACACCTCTAGGATAGAGGAGGTTCTGCTTCTAGCGTAATAAGCCATCAGGGGTCTTTTACTTTTTCTGTGGGAGGAGGACTTGGGATAGGTTCAAGAGCGGTTGGGGAATTGATGGCCCAATCAATTTATAGAAACCTTTGGGGGATTCATTCGGTGTGGTTTTGTGTTGGGTGTTTCAGAATTTATTTTATATTAATTAATTTATTTATTTATACGGTGGATACCCAGCCAACTGGTCAAAGCCATGTCGGTACTTGATTGTTTAGTACAGAAGTTCTAATCCAGGGGTTTTTAAATTTTTTTATGCAAGTGCTGGTTTCGTCCACGGCATCATCTCAAGAATATAAACTCTTCAAATGGATTTGACAAATCTAAATATTTTTCATCCAAAACATAGGGGGTGTGTGAGTAATGCAGTGCATAACTTATTATGGTAGTTAAATTGTAAACCACGGCCTTAACGACTTTAAGGGGGGTGAGTAGGTTAGCTTGACTAAATTTTGTGATTGATTAATTATCCATAATTATTATTAATTAAAATAATCACAATCATAAAAATATAAACAGTAAAGAAAGAATCGGATCCGTATTGTTGTTGGAATAAAAAAAGATTTTTGTCAATACAAGCTGTGAAAAATTTACTATTAGTTAAAAGTAGGTTAAGTACTTGGTGATAATACATTTTATTAAGTACCTTTTACCATTAAATTACTTTTTAATTCATTTCACCTATACATCATCATCTTTCTGACGAACGTAGATTTATTGATATTTGCCTTTGTTTTTCTATACTTTGTGAAAAAATAATAAAAACCTGTAAATATTAAATAAAAATGATATAATAATAAATAGGATCGAACCACTAAGATTCTGGATATAAATTCAAAACATCAATTAAAAGGGATGAAGAAATAATTTTTTAAAACAATTTTTTGAATGTTTGAATAATGTAAATAAAATAAAACAAAACAAATAAAAATACGATTAAATAATTTTTTTTCTTTTTTTAATAATGGGAAAAGTCTCAAGAGATGAGAATCCACCATCACAGATCCATATAAACAAATTTCTTTTGTTTTTCTCAATTTTCCTTTTATAAGCAATTCACTTTATTAATCTAATTACAATTTGGAAAGATGAAGGAAATTAAACAACACTTGCTTATATAAGAGAAAATATTTTTTATTTAATCCGGTAAATCTTTAGTAAATAGAAGTAGGCATTCTCCGAATTACTATTAATTGGCAAACACGAAGAATCTTCCATCTGATTTATTTTTTATTTTTTATTTTTTTTTCAGTCAAATAACACAGAATAGAAGAATAAAAGACATGTTCTAAATAGGAAAATTAACATAAAACATGAAAGAAATTCAATTGCATGTTAACCATGTGGCTTCATCTTTCTCTCAAGATGAGAGAGGTGTTAAAGCTAGCATACTAATAAGAAAACAAAATAGAGAAATAAAAACACTTTTTATTGAATAAAAGAAAGAATTACAAAAAGATGCAAAATAATAAAACTCTAAGTCTATTCTCTCTCTCACTAACTCTGTGTATTTCACCTCATCTACATATGTCCTTATTTATAGAGTTTAGAATAGAACGATTGGGAGTGAAAAATTCTAATTACAGAAGTAAAAATAAAATAAAAATAAAAATAAAAATATATCAAACTTCTTAAAATCTTGCTGTTTTTCAATTTGGCTTGATATGTTTTCCAATTTGGCTTAATCTTTGCTAATTTGATGGAAAAACCAATTTTGAATTTGACTTTGACTGATCGTGTAATCTCACATTTTTGCTATTTTTGTTTCTTTTCTTCTCATTTCGAAACCAGCCCCTATAAAACATGAAAAGCAAGGATAAAAATATTTATTTATTAGAAAATATTAATTAATCATTTATTATTAAGTATAAAATAGCAAGTTTTGTGCACTTATCAAATTACCCTCAAACAAGCTTTTGCTAGTCCTCTAACAAATAAAGGTAAAAAGAGAAAAGTTTACAAAATTACTACTTTCACTACCTCCTAACTAAAGATGTGCCACTTTTGGAAGGTATTTTCAATTGCATTTACCATATGCAATAAGGCCTTAAACTCCTAAGTTACCCTAGTGGACGAGCTATTGCCTCGTGAGGGTTTCTAGAGATGATACCCACAAACATCCAATATTGTGCACACATTGCACTTAGCTCAATTACTTCCATCAAATCAGAAAAGATTGAATACACATTATCATCAAGTTATCTATTGTGTCAAGTATAAGAAAGATTAATATTCCCAAGCAATCCCAAACCTCCAATTATATGACTAATACTATGGTCCCCACACAAAGTTCAATTCAACATATTCCCAATAGTAATTAATCACTAGCTTCTTTTTGAAGTGAACTAGCATCCAATTATGTGTTGTACTCTTTTATCCTTATATTATACATCACAATAGCTTCAACTCATTTATTTCCGATCGAGTTCGAGCACCCAAGCCATGAATTCATTACTACACTTATGCATGCAAATTTTTCATAAATTTTTTTTTTCAAAGATCGAAAGCTATGCAATGTGACAGTCTGAATTCTTTGAACCCGGTGCGCCTGCGAGTAACCCAAAAACTAACCCGATAATGGATTCCAAAGGCGGAAGCAATAAAAGAGAATAGGTCGCTAGAGATGAATACCATCTCTAAGATGTCCAAGTGACCTTCTAAGAAGTCACGAAACTCAAAAAGTAATTGAAAACAGAAGCTAAAACTGAAACGAACCGAAAACCAAGATAGGGGTAAAATGGCCATTTTACCCTAAGAGAAGGAAATTTGACTCTTAATAAGTTAAATGAGATCAAAATAACCCAATGAGATCCTTTGGTAACCTCATATGAAGTTCTAAGGTCATTGGAAGTGAAATCCCACGAAAACCCTAACCCGGTTTGAACCAAATCCCGATAATGTTCAACCAAAATGATTATATCTCTCTATAGGAAATGAATCTAAAAATGGGATTGGTACCATTGGAAAGCTGACTCAAAATTCTCAAAATATAATTATTAAAATCCAAACTCTAAAACCTCCAATTAATTATCAACTCGGGAATCCATCTGGTGGACCCCTAATAAAAATCCCAACTGTAAAATAAAATAACTGAAGTACGATCCAAAGCTAATAAGTAAGCAGTCTTACGTAGTCGGTGGAATAGAAGTCTGTATCTACTCTGCACGACCAAGCTCTAACCCTGGAACTAACGAGCATCTGAAAAATAAAAGAGTAGGTCAGGCCCATATGCAAGTCCTGATCTACTACTATCCAAATAGGAATTCGATACGCAGATACATCTTAGAGAAACTCTACAATATCTAAAGTAGTTCATTTATGTATATATTACACACTATAGGACACTCACTAGTCCAATAGGTCTGTCTCAGCCTGAGTAGAGATACCATGGAAATCGAACATTACGTGGTCATGTGTACCTAGACTTACCAGGGAATAACACCTCTGTCCAGCTATCCATCCTAGGCGATATACGCACCCTAACCATGGTCATGAGACTCAAGCTCATACCATGGCGTTATAACATAAATATATAAAATCCGTGTCCTCCTAATACAAAATATCATCCATCTGATATAGTGGCTTGATATCTGTACAACAGTTCATCCCAGGAATCCAATTATGTCATTCAGTTATTTACTGACCTGACACTGATAGGAGTTGGACTTAAGCTCTATGGTTATTCCACACCTTAATCCATTTTAAGTAGGACTTAGTATCTGAACTAATCCACCCCTAGTATGCCACCGTCCCATACCGGTGCATATAGTCCTCCAATCCACATAATTGATAAAAATACCATTTAATTAATTTATCAACAGTTCTCCGAAACATGCATCTGTATATTTTAATACAAATATAATGACATTAGTTATTTACTCCAGAACCTAAAAATCAAGCTCCAATTATTTAAACTGCTAAAATAAACCATAGCGTTCAAATCCTCCAAAACAGTCGATAAACTGATACACTACACTGTATTAAATTCCTATTCTAATATCTAATTAACATTCTAGACTACTTATAAGGCATCCATATGCATCATTAATCTCAAATAGCAAAAATTAAAACGCATAAACCGAAGAAACAAAGCTAACAGAGACTTACAGAATTTTGTATAACAGTTTTGTTAAACAAGATTAATTATCAGTCAAGCATGCAATATAGATTGTATAAGCATTATTAAACTCCTAGAGTCCATCTAAACATGCACAGAACATAGATTCATGGAAAAGAATAGAACAGAAACTTGCCTTTGAGACTTTGAATAAAAAATCTCTAACTGTTGCCTCTATCTTCTCCGGCCACGTTGGTTGTGTTAAACAACTCTTGTTGCTCCTATTACAGTCCAGTAGCCCACACCAAACTTCCCTCCTTGATTTTGTTGTGTGAATCACCCAAGTTCACTCTCCGGTTCTCTCTCTATTTTCCCTCTGTATCTCACAGTCTCTGTTTTTACAGAACTTACGTTTATTTTTTCCTAAACCCTAAACCACCATATTGTGTATATTTATAGGTGTAAATTAATCACCCTAGTCCATGAATAATTAGACTAAGCCCTAATCCCAATCCTAGTCGGCCTATGAAACTATCTATGTTTCCCTATGGCGGCTTACCTATACATAAATTATAATCCAAAATTAACTATAACGTAAAAATGGTCAATAATTAAATCAAGTAAATAAGTTAAAATCCAATTAAGTAAAATATCATAATGAAAAACCAATTAAATAATTAAATACACTTAAACAATTAATTCCAAGTAAATAATTAAAAATAACACAATTAATTTAATTCAATCACCACAATAAAACAATTGAGCAATTAATCAAATAAAAATGCAATTAAAACATAAATTAAATACAAAAAATATCATTTTAAAATTAGGGGTATTACACCCATGGTCTCATACACACAAGTTAAAACAACATCAAAATAAGACACTTAAGTTTATAGTACTTGTCCAAAATGGGGCAAGTTAAGCTCCTAAACAAGTTAAACTTTAACAACATCAAAACTAATCAAAGCATGCTAACACTTGCATATCAAAATTATAGAAAAATATCCAAGTGAGCCAA